TGTGAGATTATAAAAAGAAAACACAGTACCTCGTTTATCCATGCTCACACTGTTTGTGATTTGGATTATGGCCAGTTGATTAGTAGCTGCAAGGTGCTGGTGGTGTCTGCCTGGCAGGAGCCTATGGAAACATCTGAACTGTGGCACACCATCACTGGCAGTGTCTCTTAGCCCACCAGGCATCTGTAGGGTTGTGGGCATCACCTGTCCTCACTGTGCTTGTAAACCTAGACCTATGTCTCTGCTCCCCAGATCAAGATGAATGCCATGCTGGAGACCCCCGAGCTCCCAGCCGTGTTTGATGGAGTGAAGCTGGCTGCAGTGGCTGCTGTGCTGTACGTGATCGTCCGGTGTTTGAACCTGAAGAGCCCCACAGCACCACCTGACCTCTACTTCCAGGACTCGGGCCTCTCACGCTTTCTGCTCAAGTCCTGTCCTCTTCTGACCAAAGAGTGAGTAGACCTCATGCCCTCTGTATGCTCAGCTGCTGATGTATTTGGCTTTGTGTGATGTTCAAAGAAGAATCTTATCCCGTCGTGTCCTTAAGGCATCAATGGGATATGGCGTCACTGGTGTTAAAATAGCCACAGTCTGATTGCAGTCTAGTGTTTGAATCCTGGAGGGTAGGAGAGAATCAGATCTCTGTTGCCTGAAACATTCCTTCCTCCACAGTGTGATGTCATTGTCCATGACAGGGACTTTGCAGAAAATAGTAGTCATTTTTAGGCAGATATGGAAAAGTTGGACAGTATTCTAGTCCTTTAACAAATGCTTTGTTGCCAGTTCTAGGATGGAGGAACTATCCTCCCAAAATAATTAATAAGCAGAAAAGCACAGATCCAGTAGTTGAGTACTCTTCATCTGCCTTGTTGAAAAATGTACCAAGCATTAGCTAAGAGAATGCACTTAAAGAGAGTGCTTTGTCTGAGTGAACCAGGTTTCCATATAGAAGCCCAGATCTGTATTTTTTTTTTAGATAGAGTCTCGCTCAGTCACCCAGGCTGGAGTACAGTGGCATGATCTCGATTCACTGCAACCTCCACCTCCCGGGTTTAAGCGATTCTGGTGTCTCAGCCTCTGGAGTAGCTGGAATTACAGGTGTGCTCTTTAGTAGAGACGGGGTATCGCCATGTTGGCCAGGCTGGTCTCGAACTCCTGACCTCAAGTGATCTGCCCGCCTCGGCCACCCAAAGTGCTGGGATTACAGGCATTAGCCGCTGCACCTGCCCCCAGATCTGTATTTTGGAGACAGCAGGGGAGGGCTCTGCTTCTGATAGAAGAAACCATAGTTGTAAAATGAAGGGAGTCTGCACTCTGTGTCACACATACTGTTTTCTTTTTTTTTTTTTTGAGACAGAGTCTTGCTCTGTCGCCCAGGCTGGAGTCCAGTGGCCGGATCTCAGCTCACTGCAGGCTCCGCCTCCCGGGTTTACGCCATTCTCCTGCCTCAGCCTCCCAAGTAACTGGGACTACAGGCACCCGCCACCTCACCCGTCTAGTTTTTTGTATTTTTTAGTAGAGACGGGTTAGCCAGGATGATCTCGATCTCCTGACCTTGTGATCCGCCCGTCTTGGGCTCCCAAAGTGCTGAGATTACAGGCTTGAGCCACTGTGCCCGGCCTACACATACTGTTTTCAAGAGATGCAGTGTTCACCTTTTCCCTGTGGATGTCTTCTGAATGACTGTGTCTTCCTCTGGGGCTCAGGCCAAGCCTCGTGCACAGTCGGTCTGAATTCCTCTCCTTTCTTGTCATGCTGCTTCACTCGCTTTGTACTTCTTCAAGCTTACTCCATTCTGCCTGTGCCTTCTCAGACTGCGGCTACTCAGGGAGATGTCTTCCTTAAGTGTGTCCCTTCAGCACATGACTAACACAGCTGCTAAGACCCGATGGTGGTAGAAGCTCTTCCCTGCATCCTGATACCACCTCTCATCCCCTCTCTTGGCTGCTGGGGACACTGGGTGAATGATTCTCTTCTGAGAGCAGACAAATGGGCAACCAACATCTGAGAGTTTGGGCCCCTGCTTTGTGTAGTTGTCTAGTTAATTTTCACATGCTGTTGGCCAAGGGTGAACAGCTGCCATTATGGGCTTTGGGTGTTTTGGGTGTTGACGTGTGGTATTCTTATGCAGTTTTCTCATAATTGTGACAGTGATGCCATGACCCCAAGTCAAGAGATATGTTGCCTAATAGTGGTGGACACTATAAATGTCATCACATTGAATTTGGAACTGCCCCTGCTGAGGGGACTTTTCATTACAGTAGGCTTCACAGCCAGGCACAAGAGCAAGGACATGGTGTTCTTATATGCAGTGTTTGCAGTTAAAAATCAGCTCTGTAAAGGGTATGCGTAGTATATGTTTTGAAAATCATCCAATATTTTTCATAGTTGTATTTTGAATATTTCTTTCTTTCTTCTTTTTTTTTTTTGTTTTTGAGACAGAATCTCACTCTGTCCCCCGGGCTGGAGTGCAGTGGCATGATCTCAGCTCACTGTAACCTCCACCTCCCAGGTTCAAGCGATTCTCCTACCTTAGCCTCCCCAATAGCTGGGACTACAGGCATGTGCCACCATGCCCAGCTAATTTTTGTATTTTTTGGTAGAGATGGGGTTTCACCATGTTGACGAGGCTGGTCTTGAACTCCTGATGATCCACCTGCCTCAAAAGTGCTGGGATTACAAGATCATGGCGCTCAGCCTGAATTTTTTTTGATACTTAATTTAGATCAATAATTTCGACTGACTACTGAAATTTGCACTCACTTTCAGCTGTCAGTTTGGGTAGGACTGCTAGGCCCAGTTCTTTGGTCATCTCATTTTTAGAGAGCTCTTGAAAACCAAAGTATTTAAAACCCTGCAAGTTTCTGTGCAGATGAGTGCAAATTTCCACCCAGCATTGGTTCCTGAGTAATTAGAGGGAGGAAGCCATGCAAAAGCTGCTATTGCCCAGGCTCCAGAAAAGCATCATGTAAGGTTTGATTCCATACTAATTGTTCAAAGTGTAAAAGAAAGCTGATTGTGGCAGTTTTTACCTCCTTTTCTTTTTTTTCTTTTAAAAATAATCCAGAGACATTAAGCCCAATAGTTTCTCTTTGCTTTTCTCCCTCCCTGGCACATTTTCTTGATGAGTCTAAGGTGTGACCTCTACTGAAGTGGCTCCCACCCACCTCCTTAGGAGGTGGAAGTGCATCCCCAGCCCCATCTCCTTGGACCTTGTGGCTGTGTTTAGAAAATTAGCATCAGCCTGAGCCAGGGGCATCAACATGGAGCTCCCTGGTCATTGGCTGATTGCCACCCTCTCTCCTGTTGAAGCCTGAACTAGGGAGGGGCGGAGGTCAGCCGAGGTTAAAGGCAGACCTGATGATCATTTAGGAGTTAGCTATGGTTTGAAGGTGTATGTGAAGGGACAAATTCTCCAGAACCAATTTACTTCCAAAGCCTCTGCCTTTGATGATAGGACCAGACCTCTTAGAGCATGTTGGAGCATTGCTTAAGCAGCTAAATTCTAAACACCCGAGCAGTCTGACTTGAGCATGACAAATGACTAAAGGGCAAAATTCACTTTATTGCCCCTCCATCCTTCAACTCACCCCTTATTTCTGTTTTAGATTTTAATTTTAGGAATCACTGTATCCTGTGTTCATGTCTCATATCACCAAAATGTTTTCACATTACTGCTCTCTTTTGTCCACGTTACTACTGCATTTGAAATTTATTGAGTACCTTTCATAGACATTATGCCATTCAGTCTTAACCAACCTTGAGGTTGGATTCATTTTTCCTTTCATTTTAGGGGTGAGGAAACTGAGAGTAGCAGAAAGGGAAACTGAACCCAAACTGGAGTGTGACACCAGGTTGGCTGCCTTCTTATCTGTGGGGAAGTGAACAGGGACTTTTCTTGGGTACAAGTGAGAGAACTGAGGCAGAGGCCAGCCCCCGATGACAGTCCCTGGGTGACCTTTGTTTCCCATCTGACCTTCTTTCTGTTTCTGTCACTCCATTGGAAGTTACTGTCCCCCAAGGTCTTTTTCTGTGTCACATGTCTGTAACAAACTCCCATGTGTTGGAAGCTAAGGGCAGGAAACACGTCTGTTATGAGGGAAAGTGCTTCTCCTGGGACTTTGAAGACTTTTTTCCTACAAGGAAGGCTGTCTGCAGCCTTCACAACCACTCGCCTAGGCTGGAAAATTCTGTTAACTGATTTACAACAAGCTGTTAATATTATTCAGTAATCCTGACTGCGGGTAGCTGGTTATGATGACATGTGCGGAATCAGGACATGTCCTCTTACTGTTCTGGTATAGAAAAAAAGTTGATGAAAGGTGAACATTGAAAGCATGCTTAAGGAGCAGGGATTACTGTTTTCCCCTCTCAGCATTAAAGTCAATTCGAAAATCTGTTTTAAGATGATATACCCAAAGATACATTATAAATGAATCTTTTAATGTCTGCAGGAAAACTTTGCTTCAGTGGGATGTTATGTCTCTTGTTCACTTAGAAACAGATCAATATTTACCTAGTGATTCATTTTTTGTTCTCACGAAGTGTTTACTTTTAGTGAAACAAGCAGACGCCCGGTTCAGAATTATGACAAAAATCTAGATAGTCACACAAATCTTTTTTCTGAATAAAAACCTTAATGCATATTCATTTTTTAAAATAGAAAAGGTAGAACACACAAAAATTACCGATAAATGTTATAGCTCTTTTTTTTTTTTCTTTTATGAGACAGAGTCTTACTCTGTCGCCCAGGCTGGAGTACAGTGGCGCGATCTCGGCTCACTGCAACCTCTGCTTCCCGGGTTCAAGCGATTCTCCTGCCTTAGCCTCCTGAGTAGCTGGGATTACAGGCATGTGCCACCACACCCAGCTAATTTTTGTATTTTTAGTAGAGACAGGGTTTCACCCTGTTGGTCAGGTTGGTCTCGAACTCCTGACCTCATGATCCACCTGCCTCGGCCTTCCAAAGTGCTGGGATTACAGGCATGAGCCACCGTGCCTGGCTTTATAGCTCTTTTGGAATTTGTCTAACAGGTTTTTCAGTTTTTTCAGAAAACCTCCCACGTGAAAAACAAATTATAATTCTACCCAGAGATAATGCGCTATTAATATGTGGGCGATCATCCCTGTGGTTTTCCTTCTGCTTATACTTGCCCCCACAAAATCACGGTGATAGATATTGTTTGGTAACCTGCTTTCACCAAACCATGATGAACGTTGCCATGGACATTCACCCATGCTGCTACCTATCTACTCACATTTGATTTTTTATAGCTTCAGAATTCTGTCATTCATTCAAATTTCCTCATGGCTGCTGGCAACAGTTGGGTAGAGAAAGACCTTTGAATTGAAATTTGAACTAGTATGCAAACCTAGGTCTTCTACCTCTAAACTGGCCACAGAACCCCAGACAAAATGACAGCCCCTCTGGTCCTTGGTTTCCTTCTATGTAAAATGAAATAGGTATGTCTCCCATGGTGCCCTTCAGCACGGACATCTTCTGATTCTGGTACCTTTGCTTTGTTAGCAAGCATCAAAGTGGTCTTTTTAGGGGAAGGACCCTGGGAGAGTGTTCCTGACTGCAGGGTAAAGAGACTGGTTTTCTTGTGTGTTTGTCTTCTTCTGACTATTCTCAGCCCCCGTACTCCTGGACAGGCTGGCACTGTCTCTGTTTGGCTTTTTTTTTAAAGTACTTTTTTAAGCTCTCATTTACATACAGTAAAATATACAAATCTTAAGTATATAGCTCAGGGGCTTTTGTGTATGTATTCAGCTGTGTAATTACCAGTCCCTTGGGTGTTTCCAAAAGTGTACTATGACCTCCCTGCCTCTGACCCACCCATCTGTCATAATACTACTCGAGTTGGCTTCCTCAAGCAGGCCAGCAGCTGAGGCATGAACCTACCTGTCCAGCCTTATTACTCACAGCATTCTCTCATTGCCTGTGAAGTACCTGACTTTTGGGCTGTTGTCTCCCCACTATCCCAAATCCCCTCTTTTTTCTCAGCACAAAATGCCTCTTATCCTATAAGAAAACTTAAATAGCATCAATTCTGCTTTTAAGAGACAGAGTCTCACTGTGTTGCCCAGGCTGGAGTGCAGTAGTACAATCATAACTCACTGTCACCTCAAACTCCCGAGCTCAAGCTGTCTTCCTGCCTCAGTCTCCCAAGTAGCTGGTACTACAGGTGTGCACCACCATACCCAGCTAATTTTAAAAAAATTGTTATAGAGACAGAGTCTCATTATGTTGCCCAGTCTGGTCTCAAACTTCTGGCCTTAAGCCATCCTTCCATCTTGGCCTCCCAAAGCGCTGGGATTTCAGGTGTGAGCCTCTGTGCCCTGCCCTAAATAGCACACATTCTGAGCTACTATTCTCTAACTTGCCCCCCTACTCCTCTTTAGCCAGAATGAGCCCTTCTTCCGTCTTCCTACCATATTTCCCCAACATATAACTTCTGTGTTCATTTAAAATGTTCCATCTTGTTTTATGAGAATTTGTGTCTCTTTTCTTTATCACTGGAATGTATACCCCAAATCAAGAGCCACACACTTGGGGAGACAGAACAGGATTCCTGGTGGTTCCAAATCTCAAGTACAATGCCGTCCTGTATCTCATTTTCCATAAACAGGTATAAGTGAACGATGTTCTCATTTTGGCAGACGCCGTGTGTGCCTGCCCAGGAGAAACAAACTGCACTGTCTCCGGCTTGTTCAGTGGCGCTCCAGGGAATCAGGTGTACCTTCAGCTCTGACAGAGCTTTGTTGATCTGGGAAGACTCTACCCTGTTTCTGGAAGAAGATGGATTGTTTCTGGTCTTAAATTAAGGGAGGACAACCCCAGGCATATGCATAATGGCAGTTCACAGCCTCCACCCTTCCCTCTGGGCCTGGCTGAAGTTTTCATCACCAGGTCCTGGTTGGAAAGTAGACAGGCAGCAGGTGCCCTTTCTCTGGAAGCCTGCTATTAAAATGTACATACTCCCCTGTGGGAAGCGGGCTGCTGCTTTTTCACTCATTAGCAAGCTTGCCAGTATGGGCTGTCTTACAGCTAAAGCTGAAGGCATTTAGGAGGAGTGTGATGGAGGGCTTAGCTAATAGACAGGCCTAAAAACAAAGAGTTGAGTTTTCTTCACTGGATTCAAGAGACATCTAGAAGCCCCTGCAGAGTCCAGAGAAGGGAGGCAGTATGATGAAGACCACAGCCACATGTGTGTGGGTACTTTCTTCCCCAGAGATGAAAATGTATTCGCTTTCTTCTGCAACCAGCTGCAACCTGTATTAGTAAGAATGGGACATTATTGTTCTCTGTGGATTTGAGAGACACCTGAAACTTAGGAGTGAGGGGCATACCCACTAACACCAAGCCAAAAATAGCAGTTGGTTCTCCTATGCCATGGTGCCCTCTCCGGACATGTCCTCCTGGAAGCTGCTTCAGGTAGTCATAAGAGAATGGGGGGAGCCCTGTGGCCCTTCCATAGATCGTAATGGATTCATTACAGTCTGTGGTTTTCCCTTTTTCTCTTCACTCACCGGAGTACAAGACTACAAAAGAGAATCCAATTGGAATGCCGTTCTCATCATAATGTGTCCAAACCTTTAGTTTCCTGCCAATTAGTCATCCATCAGTTTTGGTTAATGAACATTTGAGGATCTACTTCTCTGAGACTCATTGTGGGGAGGCATTTTTAAAAGATCATTTTTTCAAGCTTTTTAATTATGGAAATTTTCTAGAGGCACTTTTTAAAAATCAGTTTCCTCACAAATGTGCTTCCTAATTATTTCTTTTTCTTTCTTTCTTTTTTTTTTTTTTTTTTTTGAGATAGTGTCTCACTCTGTTACCCAGGCTGGAATACAGTGGCACAATCGTGGCTCATTGCAGCCTCAACCTGCTGGGCTCAAGAGATCCTCCCATCTCAGCCTCCCAAGTGTCTGGAAACAAAGGTCCACACCACCATGCCTGGCTAATTTTTAAAAATATATTTGTAGAGACAAGGTCTTACCATGTTGCACAGGCCGGTCTTAAACCCCTGGGCTAGTGATCCTTCAGCCTCAGCCTCCCAAGTGCTGGGATTACAGGTGTGAGCCACCACACCCAGCCCCTAATTATTTCTAATAAAGCAGAGCAAATCTACTTTTGATTTTTCTCTCGAACAGTGCCAACTCCCTCTCTATTGTTGTTGTACATACTTACTTCTTAACAGTAAATATCAATTTTTCTTTTATCTGCCCCAAATAAGAGCTCAGTTCTGTATGTACAAGCACTATATTTATCATAGATGTGCAAAATATGCTATTTTTGTCCTAGTGTACCAAGGAAGTATTAAATAATTAGAAGTACACTACAGAAAAGCACTAATTCAAATTTCTCTGATACTGCAATATATGGAGTTATTTTCTGGATCTAAAGAGCACGGGACTCCATATATGAAACGGCCACTCCTTCCATTTTCTTCTCTGCCTCCTTGTTATAAAGCTGTTTCTTTGCAGAGGCAATACCAATGCAGAGGCTGGGGTTAGGAGCTTTGAGATGGATAGTTGGTGTTTTCTCAATCTTAAAGCATCAGGCAAATGCAACTTCACACACTCCCTTCCAGTCAGATTGCCACCCTAGGCCCCTCCTAGGTAAAAAATTCTGGAGCCAGCACAGCTTATTTATTTATAGCAAGTTAAAGCTGAAAAGAATTTCATTATCTTCGAGTTAAATTTCTCTTAATTCCCTCTTGCTCACAGACATTCCACATCAGATTTAGATCCTTTCCTTCTTGGCTGAACACTAAAGCTTTGTCCTTTTCACAGGATAAATTCCTAATTGCCAAGAACCTTAATTCCATTGACCTGACTTCATCTGTTTTAAGAGTTGTGCAGGCTGGGCGTGGTGGCTCACACCTGTAATCCCAGCACTTTGGGAGGCTAGGATGGGTAGATCATGAAGTCAAGAGATTGAGACCATCCTGGCCAACATGGTGAAACCCCGTTTCTACTAAAAATACAAAAATTAGGGCCGGGCGCAGTGTCTCACACCTGTAATCCTAGCACTTTGGGAGGCCAAGGCAGGCGGATCACCTGAGGTCAGGAGTTTGAGACCAGCCTGGCCAATGTGGTGAAACCCTGTCTCTACTAGAAATACAAAAATTAGCTGGACATGGTGGCAGGCACCTGTAATCCCAGCTACTCAGGAGGCTGAGATGGGAAAATCGCTTGATCCCAGGAGGTGGAGGTTGCTGTGAACCAAGATCACACCATTGCACTCCAGCCTGGGGAACAAGAGTGAGACTTTGTCTCAAAAAAAAAAAAAAAAAAAAAAAAAATTGGCTGGGCATGGTGGCACACCTCACCCCTGTAGTCCCAGCTACTCGGGAGGCTGAGGCAGGAGAATCACTTGAACCCGGGAAGCAGAGGTTGCAGTGAGCCTAGATCGCGCCACTGCACTCCAGCCTGGCGACAGAAAAAAAAAAGAGTTGTGCAAATATTTCTTTGGATATTTCTGGTAAACTATTAACAAGTGATTGGCAGAACTGTAGTGTTCTGATGTGCTTATTTTATAGCCACCAGACCTTCAGAGCATATTCACTTGCAAACTTATATTGTTAGAAAATTACTGAAAAATGGAAGACTCAAAATCATCTTGATTGAGGCTAAGTATTAAGGGCTAGCCTCAATAAGTCAAACTTTTAGGCCATTTCATCTTAAAATTGCTCATGTTTCTGGCAAAATAGCCCAAACAAAAACTGTCAAAGTAAGAAAGTTAAACTGCTGACCCTGGGACACTCTTTTATTACCTGGCTGACCAAACATTTTGTTTGCTCAGAACTGGAGCATGGAACTGTCAGTGCTAATACCGGGGAATTCCAGGTCAAATAGGGATGAGTTCTTCCCCCTCTCGACTACTCACTATCTTGGATGTTGCCTGCCTGCCGTGTCTCTGCTCTAGCAGGTCATTTATGCAAGGGGCCAGCCACATTGGGAAGAAAAGTACCGCCATCTTAGAGGTCTCCTATATCGAATCAAGATAACCAAGTCTGAGTCTGCTGCAGAATTCATCCACATTCTCTAACCTAGAT